GTGAACTGTAAAAGAAGAATTTGTAAAAATGTAGGAAGAAAGGAAGGATGAATGAGGATGTATAACCGAAATTAATGGTGTGCTACTAACGACTTGATCGTCCAGAAAAAGAATGGTGCCAAAAAACCGGAACCGGTGGTGGTTTTTTTTATCCTTTACTTTTACCCGGCATGTCTATATTTAATATAATATATATAATAATATTTTTAGAATATTTAAATATAACACAAAAAAAAGAGGAAAAAGGATCATTTTTTATGAAATAAATGTTATTTTTATTTTTATTTATATTGTTAAATAATGATTGAAAAAACTTTTTACTACTAAGTAAGAATTAGTGAACATAAATATTGTTTCTTGCTTCAAAGGAAATGCATTTATTTTCATTTTTTTTTTTTTTATAACTAAATATTAATTAATAATTACGGGAGAAAGTTATAAATCTGATTGGGTGTATAATTCGAGAAAACTCCGACGATTTAATTATAAGTGAAGAATTTTGATAGGAACTATGGTGAAATTTAATAAATGTGATGATAAATTTGAAGATTTCATAGAAGACATTTTTCTCGTAACAAAGTTATTTTTTTGAATAGTTTCCGATAAATGAATGATAATTTTGTTGATATAATCGATGATGAAACGACATAATAATATTTGATGAAAGAAGTTGATATAATTCTCTCAGACTAAAATAAATTTCCTTGGTGTGAAGTAAATGTTAAACAGTATTTCAGTTATTTTTAATTTTATCCAAATAATTTAACTTTTTTTTTAGAAAAGAATGGTGAAGACAAAGGAAGAAGATAAATTTGATAGTAAATTGTTAAAAAGAAGAATCAGATTATTTATTGATCTTACAATCTTTTTGTTAATTAATACTTTCGAAGATTTTTTTTTCTTTCTAAACCGAATGAATTGCTGTTAACATTAACTAATTATCATTATCATTATTGTTATCATAAATATTGGTATTGAAAAATAACATTAAAATTGTTTATACAATAAACAATACAATATAACACCGTAATCATTTGCATTTGAAAGATTAAGCAAAGGATTATAAAATATTATTAATATGGTTAATAATTTCCAATAATCACACATCATTTTTTTTCTACAAAAAAAAGAAAAAAGAAATTAACGTTGTTTATTTATTTGTTTATTTGTTTATTTATGCCATTATTTATTGTTTACAAAAAAAAAATCTTAATGATCAAATATTTGCATTATTAGCATTATCCATATTATATTTGAATGGAAAAAGTTATAGTTTATTTAAAATGAAGAGAGAAGAATAGATGAAAGTATAAAGGTGTAAGTAAGAGAAACTGGTTTGATTTTGCTGAAGAAAGATGATGAAGTTGACAATTTTCGACTTAAATGGTGAATAAACTATTTCATTTTACAACAACAAATTTACAGCTTAAAAATGATAATGTTCCATTTGAAGGTTAGAATATATGGCATTTGTTGTTTAATTACAGTACTTAAATGTCTAATAGAAGAATTCTGTAAGAGTATTCTTATGAAGTATTATTAAACAATCTCTAATTGACAACTAATCCATCATTTATAGCTTATAAAAATTGTTCAAGCATATGAAATTTTTTATCCGGTAAGGAAACCGTAAAAGTTATCATACACTTTATTTAAAATGTGAAATTATCATAATTATCATCTTATATCATTTACTAGCTGTGATAGGTATTTTCCAACGCGTAAATTTTTATCCGGCAAGCATATCATATCATTTTTATCATACGTTTTATTAAAAATCTGAAATTATCATGTTTATCAATTATATCAGTTATTTCGTATGAGATGTTTTCCGATTTATATCAATTCAGATTTCTTTCTTCGAGTTTATTTCAAATAATATGTGATTCAAATAGCTAGGAAAATGATAGATGATATTGCTGACCATCATAGATAATTGTGATGACCATTCAAACATTTAATACGACACTATCAATATTATTAACATATCGTTACATGTTTAATAAAAATTTCATCGGATCTTTTCGCATAAAATCTTAACCTATGACCCTCTTCATTTGATGAATGCATTATACCTGCTATCACAATCCAAATCCGATATGATTACTTTCCTAATGGATAAATTAAAACCACAGCATTGAAATAATTTCAAAATTTAGAATTTATCCATTCCCAAGCGAAAAAATTTCCATTTTAATTAGAATAACTAAAAAAATTTTTGATAACTGGTTTTACTTTTTTTTCAATTTTTTTCATCAAAAAGAAATCGGATTAATTCTATTTATTTTGCCAATTATACCGTATGACAACAAAGCATCTAACCTAAACAGATATGCAACAGTACCAGTCCTTTTTTTTCGCTCAATTTTTAACAATTTAACAAAAATGACAATCACCTGATGAAAGCTACGAATCAATTCATCCCAATGTTTTAATCTTTCACAGTCTTTGACAATAAAAAAGAAAAGAAAAAAAAACAAGAAAAGGAAACAAAAATAAACGAAAGTCTTCAATTCATCGTTTTAAATAAACAATGAAACATTAAAATAATTCATTTCATTCTTTTTTTTCAAGTTACTTCTCATTTAATTCATTACTTGTTAAGTATCATTGTTTCAAATTAATGCTATATTTAATTAGCACATATGTTAATTGTGTGATATAAGTGATAGAAATTATTTTAATTCATTCTTTATTATTCATGTCATACCATCCAATATCCACTTTCAATGGAATATATCAACGAATAATTCTGAAATTAAAGATATTGAACTGCTAGGGTACACGTATGTAGGACACATCGTCAACAGAAATAGAACTTTAATAGAATTCAATAATTCAATTAAATTCATTCAATTATTTGATGAAATAGATATCAATGAAAATAAATATTACATAAAATAATCATAAGGAAAGAAAAAGATAACATGAAAACAACTATTTTATGATTAAACAATCAATGACAGAAGAAAAAAACAGCGATTATCATTCATTTCAAAGTTTTTTTAGATCAATAACAAAACATTTATTATTATTTCATTATTATTATCATTACTATATTTTATTATTGTTATTAGTATTATTGTTATTATTATCATTGTTATTATTATTATTGTTACTATTATTATTATCATTATTATTATTGTTATTATTATTATTATTATTATTATTATTATTATTATTATTATTATTATTATTATTATTATTATTATTTATTATTATTATTATTATTATTATTCATTATTATTATTATTATTGTTATTATTATTATTATTATTATTACTATTATTATTATTATTATTATTATTATTATTATTATTATTATTATTATTATTATTATTATTATTATTATTAT